CTCAACCTTTTTAGGCTGGTTTCTTCCCTTCGTTATAGATTTATCCATCTGTGGTCTTTATAATTACCGTCTTTATAGTTGGGTTTCTGAGTGGACGTCCAACTTGTTGATTGCCAGTGCTAAAATCTGAGCAACCCACTGCTCTGGGCAAAACAGTGGCGTGCAGATTGATGGTGCTTTTCTGACTCTGCACCAAGAACCGTCGCACCAAGGCAGCAGCAAAACCGCCTCGTCGGCCACAAGAGTCGCGCTGGCGACCCATGGGGCTCCTCCGCTGGGAATCTCCTGGTGCGTGAGCAACAAAAATTTATCTGAAAGTGTGGCGTCCTCTCATTCTCTGCGCTTTCACTGGGAGCTACAATCCCGAGCTGCTAGTGATCAGCCATCTTGGATCTCTCTCTAGTGTTTTGTATTTTTTAAGTAGAGATAGGGTTTCACCATGTTGGTGAGGCTGATCTCGAACTTTTGATTTCAAATGATTCACCCACCTTGGCCTCCCAAAGTGTTGGGATTACAGGTGTGAGCCACCATGCCCGGCCCCACTTAACAACTTTTCAACAATGATTTGAATTGTTGAAAATTCAATGTGGAGACAACCCTTTGATTCTGGTTCTAGAAGTCTCTCTATTCCTGGCCTGGGCTCTTCCCATCACCTTCCTACCCTCTAAGAAGATAGAACAGCGCCCTCCCCCTATACCTCTTTTCCTTTATCCTAGCCTTTCTCTCTCCTAGAGGGTCCTCCTCAACCCTGAACTTCATTTGCCTGGTAAACTAATCTTTCAAGACACCACTACGAGGCCACCTCCTGCAGGAAGCCTTCTGTGACTGTCTCAGAATGAGACTGAGCTGCTGTAGCACTTAGCTGGAGATCGAAATCCATCTGCTTTTCCACATCAGAGCCCTCACCATATCTTGCCTGAATGACTGCATGGCCTCCTAGTGGGGCTTCTGCTCCTCATTCCGGTCTGTTCTGCACTCAGCAGTCAGAGTGACCCTTTGAAAACGTGTCAGGTGAGACCATAACATTCCCCTCCCATCAATGGCTTCTGTCTCACTGACCACACGATCTTGCCTCTGCCCACCTCGCCTTTCCTCCCTCTCCCCTTTGCTGATTTAGCTGCCAACACACTAGCCTCCTCTCTCTGGTCCTCATACCCATCAATGCTTTCTCTTCTTGGGGACTTTGCACTTGTCATGTCCCCTCCTTAAGACTCCTATTCTCTGTTCAAGTGACTTGCTCCATGACCTCCTTCCCTGAAAGAGGCATCCCAGTGATTCTACATCCCTACAGCTGCTCTTTTCTTCAAAGCATGTATCTAATGGATAATTAATTACTCATTTGTTTCCTAGGCTGTAAGCTTCATGAAAGCAGGAGCCATGTTGATCTTTTTCCCTCCCTAGTGAACTCCTTGCACACAGTAAGAGCTGAATAGATGTTGGGTTTTGTTTGTTTTAAGACAGAGTTTTGCTCTTGCTGCCCAGGCTGGAGTGCAGTGGTGCGATCTTGGCTCACTGCAACCTCAACCTCCCGAGTAGCTGGGATTACAGGTGCTCACCACCATGCCAGGCTAATTTTTTGTATTTTTAGTAGAGACGGGATTTCATCATATTGGCCAGCCTGCTCTCGAACTCCTGACCTAGGTGATCCACCTGCCTCAGCCTCCCAAAGTGCAGGAATTACAGGCGTGAGCCACCGTGCCAAGCCAGATATTTATTAAGTAAACTTACTGTTCCATGCTGTGACCATCTGTGTACATGTTTGTCCCACTGGTCTGTGAGGCCCCTAAGAGCTTCCTACTTGATAGATTTTAAGGATCTATTTGTAGATTGTCCATCTCTCTGCATTAAAACCGAAGCTTGGCCTTGCACAGTGGCTCAAACCTATAATCCCATCACTTTGGGAGGCTGAGGTGGGTGGATCACTTGAAGTCAGCAGTTCTAGACCAGCCTGGCCAACATGGTGAAACCCTGTCTTTACTAAAACATACAAAAATTAGCCAGGCATGGTGGCACACACCTGTAGTCCCAGCTACTTGGGAGGCTGAGGCAGGAGAATGGCTTGAACCTGGGAGGCAGAGGTTGCAGTGAGCTGAGATTAAGCCACTGCACTCCAGCCTGGGTGACAGAGGGAGACTCTGTCTCAAAATAAATAAATAAATAAATAAATACACAGATAAAACTGAAGCTCATTGAAGATGGTAGGAATTTTTGTTCACTGCTGTATATCCTCTGTACCTGGGAAATAGTAGATGCTCAATAAATGTGCCTATTGACTGTTGAAAAGGCAGGAATGTGGCCAGATCATCTTTCTGTCCCTAGCACCCACTGAACAAACCCCAAGCCCAGGGGAACTGCCAATAAATAATGGCTGAATGAATGGGTCTATGCTAAGAATATGGGCACTGATGATGCCTAGACCCTTGGGTCTTAGACAGCGGACTCAGCCGTGGAGATTATCTGTGACTGACACACACAAGCACACACGCCCCCCACCTCTCCAATTCCTCCCTCCCCAAGAGATCTCAGACTGATGAAGACAGAAGAGGCAAGGAAAAATCTCACCTGGAAGTGAGTGCTCACGGCCATCTGGTGGACACCTGGGGAACTGCAGGTATTGTCAGCCCTCATCAAACTTCAGCCTGAGCCCCTTCTGGGAAGAGGGTGACATCTAGGCCAGAATGGAAGGCACACTAGACTTGGTTACAGATGGAACTGGCTTCAGATCCCAGCTCTGTCATTTGCTATGTGATTTGGGGCAAGTCCTTTGGCTTTCCTGGGCTTCACCCAAGAAATGGGGACATGGTCCCTCATCTTTGCAGGGTTGTCCTAAGTCCTGGGCTCTGGCCGGGAACCTGGTAGGTAGGAAGGGTTGGCGGAGGTGTCAAGGAGGTAGGAGCAGAGGGCATGAGGAGAACAGGAGAGAAGGAACTTTCTCTTCCTCTAGAGAGCAAGTTCTCAGGGAATGGAGACCTGATTGGTATGAGCAGTTTTGGTGCATGAGGGAGAGCACATGCGTGTGAAAATCCACAGCCCTGCTTTAGTCTCTCAGCTCTCCTGGGTTTCTCAGGGTTAGAAATGTCACTGCACTCTTTTCCTTCGCAGCTGCCTTAGGATCAACCTCTCTTGCAAACAACAGGGTAGTTATCAGGATCAGGAAGTTCATGACCAACCACTACTTCAGTGGAAATAAATGGTATTCTGTGTCCTTCACCCTGGGAAGGCAACAATACCTAAGACAGAAAATTGGTCAAAAAGTAGAAGACCACACTGGATGTATTTAGAACCCATTTTGGACCAGGCGCAGTGGCTCATGCCTGTAATTCCAGCACTTTGGAGGCCATGGTAGGTAGATCACTTGAGCCTAGGAGTTCAAGACCAGCCTGGGCAACATGGTGAAACCCTGTCTTCCTCAAAAAATACATGCCTTAGCAGAGCTGGGTGTGGTAGTGCATGCTTGTAACTCTAGATACTCTGGAGGCTGAGATGGGAGGATCACTTGAGCCCAAGAAGTTGAGGCTACAGTGAGCAGTGATCGCCCCACTGCACTCCAGCCAGGGTGACAGACTGAGATACTGTCTCAAAAAAATAAAAATAAAAACAGAACCCATTTTGGTGGTGTTAAGACAATTGTCTTGGGCTGATTTATGATTCCTTGGATTATGCTAAGAAAAATTAATCCAAACAGACTTGCAAGACATGAAAGAAAAAGACCTCAAGAAAACAGCTAAAGGAACTCAAGAACAGAATGAAGACAGCCGGGGAGTCACGAGAGTGTGGTGCTGGTGCTGGCAAACAGGAATGACTTTATCTGCAGTGATGGTGCAAATTTTTCACCAGCGGATTAAAAAACTACAAAAACTTAAAAAAAAAAAATCATTGCCATTCAGAGTAGCAGAAGATAGTCCCTGATACCCTCCTTTGATGCCAACCTCCCAGCAGCCTTCACCCATGGCTGAGACCAGAACTCTGTAGAGATCCAGCTCTGATTGGGGAGAAAGGGGATCCCTGAGTCTTGGGGCCCTGATGCCCTTGGATCCTCTCTCTGACACCTCCACCTTCCTGGGCACCAGGCGTACTGCTCCTCTCTCTGTTTTCCTTTTTTCTCTGGTTGCTCCCTTTTAGGTCAATCATCCAGTCCATGATGATTTCTTCAACAACAGTTACTTGTCAGGCACTTCTCCAGCAGAAACGGGACACAGTCGCTACGCTTTTGGAGCTTAGATTCTAGTGGGGCTGACGTAGTAAAACAAACAAACATGAATTCATTTATAATTTCAAGAGTGCTTCATCCTCCAAAAATGAATAAATCAAAAGCAGCGGAGAGAGAGTGATGGGGAGGTGAGTGGCAATCTGAGAGAGAGTTCAGAGCAGCCCGTTTCAGAAGTGACTTGGGAGCAGAGACCTGGGTGAAGAGAAGGGTTGTAGCCGAGGGAACAGCCGGTGCAAGAGCCCAGGAGCAGGAACACCCTCATTCATGGTATGTGCCTCCAATGGTGGGGTCCCTGAAGCCCCTCCTCATTCTCTGCTCCCACCCCTGGGTGACATTACCTGTAAAACTCAGTTGCCACCTGCACGCCTACCCCTCCCAGGCATCCCTGATTGGGCAGCTGTGACATTGATGGCCAACAGCTTGCAGACCCCACCCAACAACCCCATGAGGCCGGTACTAATATCCCTAGTTTATAGACGAGGAAATAGGCACAGAAAGCCAAAGAAACCCCCCAAAGTCACACAGCTAGGAAATGGAGAAATTGAGATTTGATCACCTCTGCCCCTTAGTCCCCCTAAACTCATACATCCAACCGGAAATGCAACCTCTTCTCCATCTCCGACCCCCTCCTCTTCCCATGTTCCCTGCCACTTGACCTGCTGCCTCACACCCAAACCCAAAACCTGCCCATTGGAGTCTGAGCATGGGGGCTGCAGCGGTGATGCTGTGATGGGGCTGTCCGGTGGGGCCCGGGTCCTCAGGCCTTAACCTCATCTCCCCCCTCCCACAGGCTTCATGATTCCAGGGAGCATCAAGGCAAGGGACGCAGGGAGAAGGAGCAGCCAGCCCCCACCGCAAGACTGGCCACATCTGTCACGTCTGGAGAAGTCTGCCCAGAGTGGTTCCCCTGGACTAAGGGCAGGCAGCTTGGGAAAGAGGGAGCTCTTTCTCCTTGCCCCACCCATCAGGATGCCTAAAATGGGAGGCTGAGAGGGGCCTGCCCCGAGGACTGAGCTGCCAGGCTTTCTGCTTCCAAGTTCTTCCCGGCTCCCCATCTCCTCCTGCTTCGGGGAAGTGCACCTCCACCCCCTCCCCGCTGGCTTTCTAGCTTCTTGAATAAATAATTCAGGTTTTGAAATCTTGCCAGGCCCACCCCTCCCGTGCTGTGAGGGCGCTATTGGGCTGACATGAGTGACGTCACCCAGCTCCTTATACCAGCTCCATCATCACGAGACCTGCCCTGGCAGGAACTTACCTGCCTGGTCACTGTCAATCCAGACCCTCTATCTTGTCCCCCTCATTCTGGAGCCCACTCACCACAGCCACCTGCTATCTTCATTCCAGGACCCCACAGCCCTCATGGCTGAGCATTGTCGCTTCAGTACCCCAGCCCTTCTGACAGGGTCATGGTGACCTGAAGTCACCTGGACACTCCGTGTTCCCGGGCCACTGCCTCCGCCACCCTGGGGTCCCTGAACTCCGCCCTGCGGCAGAGTCACCCTGACACTGCCATGGTTGCCCTGGGGGCTTCCCCTCTACCGTTAGCATCCCACGGCCGTCACCCCCTTCCAAGATCCTGTCACCATGCTCATGTCGTCACTGCCACGCACCCCCTCGCTCCCTCGTGCTCCTTGTCATCGTCACCTCAGGGCCCCATCGTCTTCACAACCCTGTCATTCTCACCAGGGACGCACAGCCAGCCCCATCACAAGCTCTTCCTTCGTCACTTAGAACTCGTGAGCCTCTCTGCCACCCAAGGGTCCTATCACCCCACAGCCTCGCCGGACCCCCTTTCCATTCTCCCACCACGTTCCCTGCAGCCTCCCTGAGACTTCAAGGCTCTCCCACCGGCGCCGCTGAAACCCCCGGCCCGCAGAGGGCGCCGCGTCAAGGACAGGCGGGCCTACTCGGGAGGGGGCGGGGCCGCAGCCACGGTCGCTTTTTATGAATGGGGGAGCGGGCGGCGCGAGGCCTCATTACTATGCCGCGCATCGCGCGCTGCGCCCCAGCGCGCTGCGCCCATTGGCTGATAGAGCCGCTTACGTCACCAAACCGCGAGCCGGGGGCGGGGCGGGGTGACTCACGCCGCTTCTCCCGCGGCCGCGGGGGCTTCTCGGGGTCCACGCAAGCCCTGCGCCGCCAGGACCCGAGCGGAGCCTCCCCGCGGCCCGGCCGCGCCTGGTCCTGAGCAGTGAGTAGCGGGTCCCGCCGCGGGCACCAGGGGTCCTGGAGGGCACGCAGGATGCTGGGGCGTTGGGCCAGCGGAAGGCTCCTAGCGGCCGGCCAGGGTCCGAGTTGGGGTGGGAATTCTGGGTTTAGCTGATTCTGGGTTAGCAGGTGTTGGCCCAAGTGCTCGGGTGCTGGGGCCGCGAGTTGGATGACCTGGCGAAGGGTGAGCATTCCTGCAGGGACCCAAGGCCCTGGAGGGACTGACTGATGGTCATCTGAGGTTGAGCCAGCAGGAGGCGTCTGGGGCAGGGACCCAGGGTTCTGAACAGCAGGAGGTGTCCGACTCAGGAATCCAGGTATCCAGCCAAAAGGCGGAGTCAGGCCCCAAATCCTGGTGTCCGGGCAGAAGGTGGCATCTGACTCAGGGATCCAGGCTTCCAGCAGGGGGAGTCTGTCCAGAGACCTAGGGATTTAGGCAGAAAGAAGGGTCCAGCCAGGGACAGAAGTCTGGGAGGCTGGGGAGTGGGGGGCTGAGTTCCCAGGTGTTACCTCGGGAGTGTGGGGTGGTGGCTGGCAGGAGCTTCACGCGCATTTCCCGGCGGCGGAGTCTTAGGCTGGCAGTACTGAGATTCGTGAGGGGTCTGGGAGCCTCAGGCACGAGCTAGCATCATCCTCTCTGATGGGAGGGAGCAGAGCTGCTCAGTCTCCAGATGTTTCCCTACGCCAATCTTGGGGCTTCAGGGGCATCCCCTGGATCCTATGGCCCTCATCCATTTATAGTACCCCTTCTTCTGGTTCTCCTCTGGTTACACACATGGGAAAAAGAGACCCACAGGGCCTAGAACAGGGATCCCCAGGAATAGACCCTTGTTTAGAGGCCTAGGCGCATTGGAGAGGACAAGGGTATCCTGGGAAGAGCCCCAGGGCATGAATGTGGGGATTAGGCATTGGGACCCTATCAAGTATCCTGAGGAGAGACTCCCACCATGTATCCTGAGGGGCACCTCACCCCCTCCAGACCCCACCTCCCATCACCCAGCTTGGTCAGCTTCTCACAAGGCCTTTCTCCTGCAGGTACCATGATGTGGGGTGCAGGCAGCCCTCTGGCCTGGTTCTCAGCTGGCTCAGGCAACGTGAACGTGAGCAGTGTGGGCCCAGCAGAGGGGCCCACAGGTCCAGCCACACCGCTGCCCTCACCTAAGGCCTGGGACGTGGTGCTCTGCATCTCAGGCACCCTTGTGTCCTGCGAGAATGCGCTAGTGGTGGCCATCATCGTGGGCACTCCCGCCTTCCGTGCCCCCATGTTCCTGCTGGTAGGCAGCCTGGCTGTGGCAGACCTGCTCGCAGGCCTGGGCCTGGTCTTGCACTTTGCTGCTGTCTTCTGCATCGGCTCAGCGGAGATGAGCCTGGTGCTGGTTGGCGTGCTGGCAATGGCCTTTACCGCCAGCATCGGCAGTCTACTGGCCATCACTGTCGACCGCTACCTTTCTCTGTACAATGCCCTCACCTACTACTCAGAGACAACAGTGACGCGGACCTATGTGATGCTGGCCTTAGTGTGGGGTGGTGCCCTGGGCCTGGGGCTACTGCCTGTGCTGGCCTGGAACTGCCTGGATGGCCTGACCACATGTGGTGTGGTATATCCACTCTCCAAGAACCATCTGGTGGTCCTGGCCATTGCCTTCTTCATGGTGTTTGGCATCATGCTGCAGCTCTATGCCCAAATCTGCCGCATCGTCTGCCGCCATGCACAGCAGATTGCTCTCCAGCGGCACCTGCTGCCCGCCTCCCACTATGTGGCCACCCGCAAGGGCATTGCCACACTGGCCGTGGTGCTTGGAGCCTTTGCCGCCTGCTGGTTGCCCTTCACTGTCTACTGCCTGCTGGGTGATGCCCACTCGCCGCCTCTCTACACCTATCTGACCTTGCTTCCTGCCACATACAACTCCATGATCAACCCCATCATCTATGCCTTCCGCAACCAGGATGTGCAAAAGGTGCTGTGGGCTGTCTGCTGCTGCTGTTCCTCTTCCAAGATCCCCTTCCGATCCCGCTCCCCCAGTGATGTCTAGTTGCGTCTTGTTGACCCTTCAGCCCTGATCACTACGGAATTCCAGGATGTTAGGTTCTCCAGGGCTTCTTTCCAAACCCCCAGTTCCACACCCCCCAGACCCAGCTGGTTCTGGAGTTCTAGGACATTGGGTGTTTCAAGGTTCTGTTCAGATCCCTATGGGAGCCCAGCTGGCTCCACGGTTTCAGAATGTTCAGGTGGTCAGGGTTCTACTCAGAAATGTCTCACAGGCCAGCTGGCTTGCAATTCCGGAATGCTGGGAGTTTTACAGTGCCATTCCAAGTCCCAGATGTCTCTCCTCTCCCAGACTTGACCTTGACCATGTCACTTTACGTTTGAATTTCTGAGCTAAAGAGTCAGAGAGATTAGTCACATAGTTGCCTAAATAGGAGAGAGAAAGATTATATATGCGCACATACAAAGAGAGTATCTATTATTTATTTATTTATAAATTTACTTATGGGTGGTAAGGGGGAAAAAGAGACCCACACCTTGATACCAAGCTACCCCTTGTCCCCTTACCCCCATTTCTGACCTCAGTTCCTGGAGGGGGGAAAGGGAGAAAGAGAAACCACGTATTTTGTTATTATTTTGGATTACTTTTTATCGAAGAGATCATAGAAACCAGAGCCTTCTCCCCAGGCCCGCCCTCCTTGGGTTTGCAGGGGGAACACACCAGCCTCTGGTTTTTTATTTTTTTAAGAAGCCATCACCTGAGCAACCAAAAATATTCCTCTGCGCTGGGGTCTGACTGCCCTCTGGTGGCCATTTGGGAGAACTGCAGCCTGGCCAGGCAGCCGGGACCAGAACGCAACTCCAGCTCCACTCCAGCCTGGCATCCAGTGCCACAGCCATGGCCTGGGGGCCAAGCCTCACCCTGTGGTGCCCTAGAGGGGGGGCACGAGCCAACACCCCACCCCTCTGCCAACCGGGGTATGGCCCCCAGTGCATTCCCCGTTCCTGTCTCTAACCCAACTCAATAAAAAATGATTTTGTCATAAATACGTTTCCCTGTATGTGTGTGGAGGGCATGGGGTGGGGCCTGATAGGGGATGGCCTGGAATAAGAGGGCCAGGCCACGCCTGGGGGGCCTGTTGGGATATCTGCGGAGCTGGATGGAGGGTGGGGAGTGGCTGGCAGGTGACTCCCTCTCAGATGTCAGTACCCCTCTGCTCAGACCTGCACACTGAGTGGCAAGGACCTTACCTCTCCATGGTGACAGGAACCTGGGTGCTTGGCCCTTCCTGGGTCAAGGATGTCCAGATTCTGCCCATATGGGCCAGTGTGGGGCTTAGGCATGATGAATATGCTCAAAACATGTCAGTTTCCTTAATAATAATGGCCCCTTCTTATTGTGGGTGCCTACTGTGTTTCTGGCACATATGCCACCTCATTTATGCCTAATAAGAATCCCATGGCACTGGTAGTGTCTCCATTTACAAACGAGGGAGCTGAGGCTGAGTGAGGGACAGTGACTGGCCCAAGGCCATTCAGCTAAAAAATGGTAGAGCCGGGAACATCTGTTTCCAGAACCTGTGCTGTGTAGTGAGCAATTTCCTTCCTTCCCAAGCCTGGGGCTTAGGACATTCTGGACCCTGATTTATGTTGGGGTTCATTTTAAGGGCCACATTTGGGAAGTGGTCAGAGGGGGTCTGGTCATTTTGGAGTCAGGAGAGATTTTCTACACAAAGGTGGGTGACTATTGGTGTGTGCCTTTAGGTACATGTGTGTGCAGGATGCAGAGTTTGGGTATTTGGGGACAGGAAGCTGACCCCAGAAATCAAATGTGTCTATCAGGCCAGGGCAGGAGCAGGTTTGGGGTGTGGCTAAACAGGAAGCTTTGATTGGCCAAACCTCCCAGCTTCCCAGGCCTTATTGTTGGGCGAAGCCTGGAAGTGGGGC